ATGCCTGGCGATGGCGGTGGCAATGGTGTTAGGCGGATTGCCTGTGGCTACTTATCATCTTTCAAATCATTAGATTTCCCGCCATTGCCAGCTGATCACGAAAGCCGCCATTTTGTTTCAACGTATTCATTTTTTCTATTATTGAATTTATTTCCCGCTTATTAGTTTTGTTTTTTTTTTTTCATTCGATTTTTATTTTTCCTCTAAGCTTTCTATTGTCTTTATTTTACTTTTCATTGAAACTGTTTCTTTCGCTTTCGTATTTTTCCTTCTTAAAACTCATGATTTTATATGCAAAGCCATCGATTGGTATACAAGATTACGTTTAACGGGACGTGAAGTATTGCCTTATGCTCTTTTATATACAGCGAGGAGACATGGCTCTCCACTATTTTCTATCATTTGTAGTCTGAGCAATGTTTTTTTTCCGTTTACTCTCCTTCCCAATCCCTGTTCTGCCATCCATTTACACATGCTTGTGGTATTCCTCTATCTCTAGTTCTTTCTGTATGTCCTGTGAGTGTCAAATTCTCCAAGCCCTCTTTCTTCGTTATATGTATCACAGATTTATGCTCTCGCTTTCTGATCCAAAGTAGAAGTCTCCTTTTTTTGCCACTTACCTCAAAACTTCCTCGTTGGTCACCTGCTTTGTCCATGGTACTCTCAGCATCCTTCTGTAGAACCACATTTCTGTTGTCTTAAATCTCGTTCTACAGAAGGATTCTGAGATTTCCATGGACGGTGTACGTGACCAACGAAGAAGGATTTTCAGGAGAAAATGGTAAAAAGGACATTTCTACTTTAATATTTCTCTGTAAAAATAGATGTATTATAAATATTACATATAAATATGTATAAAATTTAGGTATTTTCCCCAAATCTTATTCTCTCTCTCTCTCTCTCATATATATATATATATATATATATATATATATATATATATTAAGGCATTAATTATTATAACCAAGGTTCGTTGTCAAGTTTTTGAAATTCTCATATATTAATATTTCCATTGTTCATTGCAGCTTATGTAACGGCGTTTTACCTAGCGATTGATTTGAACTTTTTAAAACCGTTTATTCTACATTCAACATCATTACTTTATAAGAGACCAGATGTGGCTATTTCTGTAGTGATTTAATAACATATTTATGTTATAATTTTCGAATAATTTAATTATATATATATATATATATATATATATATATATATATATTATGAAATGGACAAAGCCGACAATTATTTTCAGACGTTTTTTTTTATGTTTAAACATTCTTTTTATAGATACAAATATTTAAGTAAATGCTCTGTTTATAATAAACAGTATTAAGTAACATTTACCGGAATAAACTTATTATGGTGCCAAAGCTGTCTTTCGTTGTGACTGACCAGACGATGTGCATACTTGAATGGTTTGAAATGGACACCCTGACCCTAGCTCGGCTTGACCCCTTTCCAAAAGTGACTGATATGTGGATACAAATAGGCCCCTTATCGAAATGGTCGCCCCAGCGGTTTCCATAGTAATTAATTTTGCAAATGAACATGCTTATAACGATACGTAAATTTCAAGATTGGTTATTCCTAAATTTTCGCTTGAGGATGAAACAAGGCTTGCTACTTTAAGTCAATTTAATTTTAATAATTTTATTGAGGGTCCCGGCTCTCGTTTTTGAAACATGAGAATTCTTATGTAGCAAAGGAATCATATTTTTAAATATACATATATATACATATATATAGAGAGATAGATAGATAGATAGATTGATTGATTGATTGCTGTCATAGCTTCAAAATATAGCGGCATAAAATGCTAACATGATACTCATGTCAATTATATATAGGGGCAAAAGTATAACAAATTACTACAATGAAAATAGACTTCATTTATAACAAAATCAAATCTATTCTAATCATTTAAACATCATTGTATTTGGAAGTTTGCTTTTAACTCATATAAAATATCATAAAAATCAGTCATAATAACTTAAAACTAACTCAGCTACTTGAAAATTTAGACTCTTCTTAATGTCAATTTATGTCATAAGGAGTTCACTCAATTTACACCATGATTGTTGTCCGCCGACAAAATAATTGAAATTCTGTAATTAAACTTTTTCATCCTTAGTCATTATAAAAATATAGATGTATGCAAATTTCTTTTTAATTCAATTTAATTTAACTCCTCTGGAAAGATATTGCTTAAAACTTGACATAAACTTAAGCGAAAATATATATATATATATATATATATATATATATATATATATATATATATATATATATATATATATATATATATATGATATATAAGGAATGGCTCAGATTGAGGAATCGAAATGATTTCGAATTCAGTCAAATCCATTACATTCACTTACGTGCTAATATCCTTGGGAACGGCGTGAATCTGCTTCTTCTATCAGGACAGACTGGATTCTATCGCCTTGGATGCCAACTGGTTCAGGAGAAGGAAAGTCTGAATTCAACACCTGAATATGGCAATAGTTCGAATAGTGTATATATATATATATATATATATATATATATATATATATATATATATTACTCATTTTTTTCTTTCGTTTTTCTGTAATTCGCTCTTTCAATTATTTAATTGTTTTCAGACATTCTTCTTCTTCTTCTTCTTCTTTTTCTTCCTCTTCTTCTACCTCTTCTTCTTCTTCTTCCTCTTCGTTTTCTTCGCCGTCTTCTTCTTCTTCTTCTTTTTCTTCTCCCTTTTTTTCGTCTTCATTCTACTTCTTTTTCTTTTTCATCCTTTTCTTTTCCTCTTCTTGTTTTCATCTGCCTCTTCCTCTTCTTTTTTTTTCTTCCTCTTCTTCTACCTCTTCTTCTTTTTCTTCTTCTTCTTCTTCTTCTTCTTCCTCTTCGTTTTCTTCGCCGTCTTCTTCTTCTTCTTCTTCTTCTTTTCTTCTTCTCCCTTTTTTTCGTCTTCATTCTACTTCTTTTTTTCTTTTCATCCTTTTCTTTTCCTCTTCTTGTTTTCATCTGCCTCTTCCTCTTCTTTTTTCTTCCTCTTCTTCTACCTCTTCTTTTTTTCTTCTTCTTCTTCCTCTTCGTTTTTTCTTCGCCGTCTTCTTCTTCTTTTTCTTCTTCTCCTTTTTTTTCGTCTTCATTCTTCTTTTTTTTTTTTTTCATCCTTTTCTTTTCCTCTTCTTGTTTTCATCTGCCTCTTCCTCTTCTTCTTTTCTTCCTCTTCTTCTACCTCTTCTTCTTTTCTTCCTCTTCTTCTACCTCTTCTTCTTTTTCTTCCTCTTCTTCTACCTCTTCTTCTTTTTCTTCTTCTTCTTCCTCTTCGTTTTCTTCGCCGTCTTCTTCTTTTTCTTCTTCTCCCTTTTTTTCGTCTTCATTCTACTTCTTTTTTTCTTTTTCATCCTTTTCTTTTCCTCTTCTTGTTTTCATCTGCCTCTTCCTCTTCTTCTTTTTCTTCCTCTTCTTCTACCTCTTCTTCTTTTTCTTCTTCTTCTTCTTCCTCTTCGTTTTCTTCGCCGTCTTCTTCTTCTTCTTTTTCTTCTTCTCCCTTTTTTTCGTCTTCATTCTACTTCTTTTTTTTTCTTTTTCATCCTTTTCTTTTCCTCTTCTTGTTTTCATCTGCCTCTTCCTCTTCTTCTTTTTCTTCCTCTTCTTCTACCTCTTCTTCTTTTTCTTCTTCTTCTTCCTCTTCGTTTTCTTCGCCGTCTTCTTCTTCTTCTTTTTCATCTTCTTCTTCTGTTTCTTTTCTACTTGTATTTTATCCTCTTTTTCTTTATTGTTTTCTCTTCCTTCTCTTCTTCTTCTTCAAAATCTTCTCTTTCATATTTTTATCGACCTTCACTTTCTCTTTTTCGCTTTTCCATCTTTCTTTCTTTCTTTCTTTCTTTTCCCTCTACAACTTCTCGTTCTTGCCCTGCTTTCATATTTCCTTTTTCTTCTTTCTACTTCCTTTTCACTAACTTATCTCTATTTCTTGCTATTATTAATCTCATTCATTTATCTTTCTTTCTTTCTTTCTTTCTTTCTTTCTTTCTTTCTTTTCAATGTCCTTTCTACCATAAGTCGACGACATAACTGTCTTCGCTTTTTCTTTTTTCTTTTTTTTCCTCTTTTCATAAATATCTTCTTTTTCTTCTTTCTTTTTTCTGAATCAACCTGTACAACACTTTTTAAAAAATTCTTTTTATGCATTCTTCTTCTTCTGACGCTGCATCTAATATTTTTCATTATCTTTCATTTACCGTTTCTTCTTCATCGCCTACTTATTCCTTTATTTTTTCTTCGGTTTCCTCTTATTGTTCTCGCCATTATTTCTTCTTGAGATTTACTAAAAGTCAAAGGATTTAAAACGAAAATTGCCCCTAAATTCTTTCCAGCAATTCCGACAATTCCTATCAGTTGCATCTGTGCCAGCACGTCTGTTGGGCAAAATTTTGCGCGATTTCTTGGTTTTCTTTTATCGTAAATCTTACTGTTCGTTGCTGTTGGCATAAAGTGGAATTAAAATCAAATGAACGAGAATAAATATATATATATATATATATATATATATATATATATATATATATATATATATATATATATTTCAATTCGGTCTGGCATATTAATAGACGGACATAAGTAAAAATTCTTCCCCTCTCATCTTCGCACTGAATCTTTGTCCCTGCCTCTGTTACTCCCTCTCTCTCTCTATATATATATATGAGAAGTGTCTGCAAAACACACACACACACACATATATATATATATATATATATATATATATATATATATATATATATATATATATATATATATATATACGTATATGCATACGTATATATATATAAGTTTTTATATTAAGATATGTCTTAGTAAAAGAATTTACAAGGTTTTGTCTACTTATTTTTAATAGGAGTCTCTCTTAATTTCGAACACGTTTCTTAGTATCCTTATTAAAGGAAGAAAGAAAATTACCATGTTGATCCATATTCATTTTATTACGGGTACTTTCGACATTTGCACGATATCATCATCAAGGTCTTGTTTTTTTCTAAGATATAAATTGATGTGGTCATAATTTTTTTAAACGAAATTGTTGTGTTCATCTGCAAATTAAATTTTTACTTTTCAAGTGAAAAAAACGGTAAATTTATGTACTGTAGGATTTTAAAATTTTCTGATGTAATCGCACGGCAGATTTCAAGGGAGGTAACTAATTTATTCAAATGTCTTAAAAAATGAATTCAGCTACACGCAAAATGCTTTATAGAAATGTATGCTTCAAATTATTCTCTTTCCATCTTAATATGAATTAAACAGTAGGACAAAGTTTTTAGCTTTGGTTGGCAACCAGTCCATTTGCAGCACGACTCCGAATTCTAAACCTGAGGGCTGTTTAAGCACCTCGGAGTATATTACGTGCATCAGTTATCTGTATTCATTTCTTCCGAGAAAGGTGCGGATGGGTGTGTCTTTACTCCTATATCTGTGTTTAAGTCTCTGTGTGCGTATGTGAGTTCATGCATATATATATATATATATATATATATATAGATAGATAGATAGATAGATAGATAGATAAACCTAGTGAGCCAGACAAACCTACCCAGGTTTCACCTAAGCGGATCGTCAGGGAAAGCTGGCTAAAGAGGCAAAGGGAAACTCATATTTATGGACGAAATCATACCACGTGACCAAAAACAAAGAAAAAGAAACACAAGAACACCAGGAGTGGGGGGAGGTATCTGCGCGATTTTTTTCGACAGACTTTCATGTTTCTAGCTCTTTCTTTTTTTAAAACCTTTTTTCCCTATTGATTTGATTATTGGCAAATCAAAAATTCGAGGTTTTCTTGAAACGAATATAGTTACCTATATTTGTATATATATATATATATATATATATATATATATATATATATATGACGTATATATATATCACCGTGACGTCTCGCGACGGACGCTACTTACTAACAAAACAGTAATTTTAATTTATTTGTAACAAACAGCTATTTCTGATGAAAAATTGAGGACAATTTGAAATATCAAAATATATATATATAAATAAATAAATACTTTTATAAAATAAAACATTATAATTTTCAATTTTCAATTTGAAACTTTTTCTGTATATATATATATATATATATATATATATATATATATATATATATATATAGTGATTTAAATAAACATAATTTTTATGTTAATTTTATTTTATTTTTTTTTTGAATATCCGGACCTAGGATACCTTTCGGCCAACGCATTATCATCATCAGTGACCAATCGTTGGCAACTCATTTGTACGAAATTTAAAATTGAAATATATATATATATATATATATATATATATATATATAATATATATATATATATATATATATATATATATATATATACAAGGTGTGTTCAAATGTTCATAGGCTGGCTATAAAGAGTTGTGCTAGAGATTTGAAAGCTCGCATGCTTTAATTTCCAGTCTTATTAATAACTGTCTGTTTCCGACAGGTAGTTAGGGGCCCTAACTCTTGCGTAGCGTCTTGAGCGGCCGCTCTGATCAACAGTTAACGGGGTGTCTCTAGTGCCATGTCGCGCATGGAAAGGTGTCCCTGCATTTACCTCCGATGTGCAACCCTGAGGCCACATTAGGCTGTGCCAACTTCGATCTGCCGACATCACGGTCGATAATTGTCTGCTTCTCATTTTTACTACCGTAATTATGTCAATCGACGTTTCCAGATGTAAAAAAAGTAACTATTAGGTTGGTGCAAAAATAATGACGTAATAATGTCGTTTTTGACGTATCTATTTTTGAACATCAAAAACGACATTCTTACGTCATTATTTTTGCACCAACCTAATAATTGACTTCTCTTGAAAAAAAAACAAAATTTGACATCATGGTATTATCAGTCAAGTTAAGCCCCCAAGGACATTCACGCTGATATAGTTGCTGCATTAGGCAATGCTACTTCAGATTTATCTACAGTACAAAAGTGGGCTGCTGAATTTAGGAGGGGGGGAGAAAGTCTTGAATATGACGCAAAGTCTGGAGGTTCTGTAACTGTCACCACCGAGGAAAACATTGGTCATGTTTTTCCACATGGTGATGGCTGACAGGCGATTGACTATAAATAAAATAACCAATGTTATTGGCATATCCCGTGAGAGAGGTAAGCATATTCTGCACAATGAACTTGGCATGACCAAGGTTTGTGCTCGGTGGGTGTCACGTCTTCTGACACCCGATCAAAATCACGGGAAAATCTTCAATCTTGCCACACAATCAAATGAGATTACTATGTCAATTCGCTGAATTGGGGAACGATAGGCCATCAGGACTAAGCACCCAATACTGACCAAAGTGAATTTTATCTAATTAGGACAATGCCAGGGACCACACAAGTCCATCATTTCAATGGAAGTTGTGAACGACTGTGGGTTTGAACTGGATGATCACCCTCACTATGCTCCTGATGTGACTATTGTTGTAAGCTAAGGAAGGTTGCTGAATAGAATAATCACACTATGGTTGGTAATGAATAGAACAAGAACAACACATATAAGATTCGCCAGCAGCGCGTAGAAGAATAGTCAACTGCTAGAAGTGAGTCAAGTGAATTCCACAATGAATCTCCAACTGCAGGATATCTACCAACCGCCCCATGTGGTCAGATGTAGCACAAGGCCGAATTTGATCAAGAGTATCCGTACCCGTAAGCTCGGCCCAAAATTCTCCGTATAAAACCGTGTCGGGCAGCTGTTTCCCTAATGAGACTCTGCCCTTCGACATAGCTTCGTCTGGGAATCCTCTCTGCGCGGAGACGGAGAGTTTCACCATCGCAGCTGGAGACGAATCTCCAACTGCAGACCAACATACAGTATTTACTATTGTAATTTTATGTAATTTTATTACCTCCTTAATATATATATATAAGAAGTAACAAGGAAAGTAAAACTACAACATTCAGAAAATAACTTATGACTTGTTAGTTGTTTTTAATGAAACATGTAAAAAAGAGCGATTGGTGCCCAAATACTCAATGATTAAATTGCATGGCAGCCAACAACGAAAACAACAACTAAAACATTCTGAAAAAAAAAAAAACAGGTTTACAAAAAACATTTTAATAAAAACTTAACCGCAGTTTTCACACCTCTAAAAAGGAAGATAACTGCCCAAATACACTATATATATATATATATATATATATATATATATATATATATATATATATATATTTAAAGATATTTTGTAGGTACAAAAATTTAATGATCGAAATAAAAGTATAAAATTTAATATTATAAGACATATTAAACAATATTAAATAATAAAAAAAAAACACAACACCTATTCCTTATTGTACATTTTTCTGTATTAATTTTGAATCTCCCGTGGAAGCCTGAAGACCGGGAGCGAAACCGGTTGCTTCCCCACCCCCGTTGTTGTGTTTTTTTTATTATTTAATATTGTTTAATATGTCTTCTAATATTAAATTTTATACTTTTATTTCGATATATATATATATATTATATATATATATATATATATATATATATATATATGTGTGTGTGTGTGTGTGTGTGTGTATATGCCTGTCTGTCTATCTGAGTCTTTGTGTATGTATGTATGTACGTATGTATGTATGCATGTATGGTTAAATATATGTTTTTTTTTAATCTACCAGATCAATGTTAGTAAAATTAATGACAATTTTGACTTCCCCGCTTAAAGTAATTCTTAGGTTGATGTAACTACCAATGCGTATGAAGATGGATGTGGGGGTGTCGCTGAAATTTGAAAAAAGAATTCAATTTTATTTCCATTATCATATTTATTTAGGTGTGCCACCTTCAGACAAAAACTATTTACATAATGTTTCCTCCAAAAACCGCGACTTTGTTCTCTAACTGAAATTTAAACTACGCACTAACAGCATGTTTTAAAACGAGTAAATTAATAATTGTCTTGCACATGCGCAGTATTTTCTGTTTTGTAAGACATTTTTCCCCCACATGTCCAAGATTGTTATCGTGAATTGATAGCAACTATTTTCCGCATGTGGCGTCACTGGACGGATGGAATTTTTTCTGGAAACTGTCTAATCCACAAAAAAACAGAAAGGATTGTCGTAGAATGTTTTTTTCTTTTTTTCTCTGCTGTGTTCTATCATTTCATGGGCAGTTATGACTCTCCACAGCTTCACACCCTCGAAAGCGTTTTGCAATGTATATTTTTACTATACCGCCAACTCCCTGGTCTGCAGTCAGTTTATAACGGTCTGTGGAGGTTGTGTTAATGGATTAAATTATATTGATCAAAAATGTTTTGAGTAAATTAGGCTGCGTGATGAAATTGACAATTTCCTCTCACATTAAATTTCAGTATTCAACAAACATAGAATCAAGACAACATGAGAAACGTCAGTTTTTACACAACAATGAATAAAATATTTATATAAACAAAGAGGTACAAACAACTGGAGTAAAAAGGTAGTTTTAAAAAGTTCAAACATCCTTTTATGTTTAGATGAAAGGTTATCAAAGTTCTGGTTTGATAGATTATAATTTGTTAAATGGTTTGTACAATAATGAGAAAATGTGTTTTGGTATTGTAATTTAAGAAAAAAAATAAACATTTTGTATTTGAAATAGAGAAATATTGTTTACGACTTTAAGGTTTACGGAATTGTCGCTCTTTGATTTGTTTTCTCTTGTTCGAAGAGAATATTCTGTGGGGTAAGTAATTATTAACAATGCTTTGCAATAATTAACGTTGAGCTTGAAAGTGTATGAAAAGATTCGTTTATTGTTGAATGGAAAACTTGATACTGATTATTCGCCATAAATATTGCTGTGTGAATGAGTGTTCTCTAAAGGCTGGAATCATGTTAATGAACTTTAACGTAAAGCCTGAAATTTTCTTGATGAGTTCAAAGGATTCTGATCGGCGCACTGTCGAAGATGAAAGACGGTTCATAATTTATTGCTAATTTGGTCACGTGATAGGCTCCCAGAAGCTTGATAGAATTATCTTTTCGTCCAGGTCAAGAACTAGTTCGATGTTATTAAATATTAAGTGACAAATTAGAAGTTTAGATTTACTGAAAATATACCTAAAGCTGAATAAGCGCTATGATCCACTTTTTGTACGAAAATTGATATTGATAAAAAAAAAAAAGTTGGTAACGGGATGCTAAATGTCCGCCTGATAATATTGCTTACTCCTTAGCGATCTATATATTCTTTTTAATATGTCCCGTGATCTCAAATTCTCTAAGATTATTTTACTTGTTATGTGTCCTAGAAATTGTCAATCTAAGTATTCTTTTAGGTTTTGCTTTCTTTAAAATTTGTACTTTGCTTACATAATCAATCCGTTTTATCTTCTTTCTTTTAGTCTTGCATTTTTATTCTATTTTTTTTTTTTTGGTATTTTATGTTCCTTTTTATTCTTCGTGTATTTTATCATCTTTCTTTTTCTTTTTATTTGGTTTCCCCCACTTTTATACATGTATTTTCTTTTTCTTCCTTTATACTATCTTGCTTCTTTTCCTTCTTGTATATTATCTTCCTTCTTTTTCTTCGTATATTTTATCTTCTTTCTTTTTTCTTCTAGTTTTTAGATTCTTTCTTCTCGGTTTTACCTTCTTTCTTTTTCTTCTTGTATTTTATTTTCTTTCTTTTTACTTCTTGTATTTTATTTTCTTTCTTTTTACTTCTTGTATTTTATTTTCCATAACTCAAACTACTTTTTCAAAATATTCTTTTCCTTTTTTATTATCGACATTCATTTTCGCTTCTTTATTGTCGTCATTTCTTTTATTTAATTCTTTTTTTCTTTGTATATTACTCTTATTTTTCCATTCATTATTTCTGTCTTTCTTTTTATTTCTCTTTCACCAGTATCAACCATTCTGTCATTTCTTTCTTTCTTTCTTTCTTTCTTTCTTTCTTTCTTTCTTTCTCCTTGTCCTGCAACAATCTTTCTCTTTGTTTCTGTTTCTTTCTTTCTTTCTTTCTTTCTTTCTTTCTTTTTTTTTTTCCTCCTTGTCCTATATCAATCTTTCTTTTCTTCTTTGTTTCTGTTTTTTTTTTTCTTTGTTTCTTTTCTTTGTTTCTTTTTTTTCTTTCTTTTTTCCTTGTCCCTATATTAATCTTTCTCTTCCAATATTCTGTTTTGTTTTTTCTTTTTTTCTTTCTTTCTTTTCTTTCTTTCTTTCTTTCTCCTTGTCCTATATTAATCTTTTCTTTTAAATGTTTTTTTTCTTTGTTTTTTTTTCTTTTTCTTTCTTTCTTTCTTTCTCCTTGTCCTATATCAATCTTTCTCTTTGTTTCTGTTTTTTCTTTCTTTCTTTTTCTTTCTTTCTTTCTTTTCTTTCTTTCTCCTTGTCCTATATCAATCTTTCTCTTTGTTTCTGTTTTTTCTTTCTTTCTTTCTTTCTTTCTTTCTTTCTTTTCCTTGTCCTGTATCAATCTTTTCTCTTTTGTTTCTTTTTGTTTCTTTCTTTCTTTCTTTCTTTTCTTTCTCCTTGTCCTGTATCAATTTTTTCTCTTTCTTTTTTTTCCTTGTCCTATTTCTTTTTGTTTCTTGCTTTTTTTTCTTTCTTTCTTTCTTTCTTTCTTTCTCCTTGTCCTATATCAATCTTTCTCTTTGTTTCTGTTTTTTCTTTCTTTCTTTCTTTCTTTCTTTCTCCTTGTCCTATATCAATCTTTCTCTTTGTTTCTGTTTTTCTTTCTTTCTTTCTTTCTTTCTTTCCTTGTCCTATATCTTAATCTTTTCTCTTTGTTATATCAATTTCTTTCTTTCTTTCTTTCTTTCTTTCTTTCTTTCTTTCTCCTTGTCCTATATCAATCTTTCTCTTTGTTTCTGTTTTTTCTTTCTATTTCTTTCTTTCTTTGTTGTACTTTTTCTTTTTTTTTCTCCTTGTCCTATATCAATCTTTTTTGTTTCTGTTTTTTGTTTCTTTTTTTTTCTTTCTTTCTTTCTTTCTTTCTCCTTGTCCTATATCCTGGTTAGGTTTGTTTCTGTTTTTTTTTCTTTTCTTTCTTTTCTTTCTTTCTTTCTTTCTTTCTCCTTGTCTTATATCAATCTTTTTCTTTCTGTTTTTTTTTTTTTTTTCTTTTTTCTTTCTTTCTTTCTTTTCTTTCTTTCTTTCTCCTTGTCCTATATCAATCTTTTCTTTCTTTTCTGTTTTTTTCTTTCTTTCTTTTCTTCTTTCTTTCTTTCTTTCTTTCTCCTTTTTATATCAATCTTTCTTTTCTTTTTGTATTTTTTTTTCTTTCTTTTCTTTCATTTTTCTTTCTTTCTTTTTCCTGTTTCTTTTCTTTAACATCCTTATCAATTATTTTCTTTCATTTTCTCTTTCATCTTTCTTTTTGTTTTTCTTTCTGTCTTTTTTTTTTTTTTCCTTGTCTTTTACAATTCTTTCTTTGTTTTTTTTTTCGAATTTAATAATGTCCTGGATAATCCCAAGGAGGATGTAATCAGAGTGCTCAATATCATTCTTTCTTTCATTTCGTTAATTCAATTTAAATCTTTTCTTTGTTTCTGTTTTTGCACCAATGGTTTCTTTTATGGCTCTCTCTTTTTTCTATTTCCTATTCAATTTCTTTATATCTATATATATATATATATTTATATTTATTTTTGTATATATATATATATATATATTTATATATTTGTGTATATATATATATATATATATATGTTTTTGTATATATATAGATATATTAAAAAACATTTTGTTTCTTTTATAGATACTTGTATTTAATCAAATGCTCTTTTTTTATTAAAACAGTATTAAATTTTTTCATTTACCGGCTTTTGAATCCTTTCCATGTTCTTTCTTTTTGTTTCTTTTTATTCGTTCTTTTAAATTTCTTTCTTTCTTTCCTTTGTTAGATACGGAACTATCAATCTTTTATTTGCTGTTTTGCTAGTAACTTTTCTTTCTTTTTTGAACCTTCTTCGTTTCTTCTCCTTGTCAATTTACTGTTTTGTTTTAAACTACAATCTTTTTCTTTTTCTTTACATTCATTTCTGTCTCTTTCTATTCCTTGTCCTATATCAACAAATGACGTCATATGTTTCTTTTTTCTTTCTTTCATTCCTTTCCAAAATTTATTCTTTTCTTTCTTTTTTTTTTTTTTAACGTTCTTCCTTTTCTTTGTCCTATATCAATCATTTCTCTTTTTTCTGTTTTTTTTTCTTTCTTTCTTTTCCTATTCTTTCTTTGTTTCTGTTTTTTACCGGCCTGAATGTCAAGAAATTTTCTTTTCTTTTAGAAAATCTTCTTTTCTTTGTTTTGTTTTTCTTTCTTTTCTTTTCGAACTTTTCTACGCTTTCTAAATTAACCTTTAACTTTGATATCAAAAACGCTTTCTGACGTTTTAATGGTTTACTTGACTAACTAAGAATCTCCTTGTTATACATTCATACTTTGTTTCTTTTTATGAATCTTTCTTTTAAACAAATCTTTCTTTCTTTAAGGAAATCTCCAACATTCAACAATTTTTTTTGTTTCTGTTTTTTTTTTCTTTTTCTTGCTTAAATAACTTTTCTTCTTATTTATAGATACAATTTTTTATAAAATTCTTTGTTTTTTTATAAATTTCTTTACTTCCGTTTTTACTTTTTGCAGGTTGATTTTGCTTTAGAAAATTTTCGTTCTTTTTAATATTTTCTTTTTTTTTTCATTCTTTCATTCTTTCAGGCCGGTAAATCTTTCTGTTTTAATTGTTTTAATTTTTTATGGTAAACAGAACAGTTTGCATTTATCCTGAATGTCCGATTTAAAATCTTCAGTTATAACAATGTTAAATTCATATTATATATTCTTTTTATCAATAAAGTTATTCGGAAAAAATTCAATAAGTTTATAATATATATATGATATATATAGAATATATATATATATATGTATATATATATATATATATAAATATAAATATATATAAATATATATATATGTTAGAAATATATATAGTATGAAAATTGTGTGAAACAAAATCCTAATATGCGATTATGATGTTTTAATGTTTAATGTCAACACAGCATAATCGCATATTACGATTTTTGCTTGTTTTTGTCAGTATATTTTTTCATATATATATATATATATATATATATATATATATATATATATATATATATGGGGATTTGGGCAAATCATCATAGTAATACATCGAGTCTAGAAAAACCCAAAACATTTCGATGCAACGCAAGCATTATACCAACTGCACCCGTTGCTACAATTCGGGAATAACGGTTCGATTTCAAATATCGGTAGTGGATATGCACTGCTGATGAATCCAAAAATAGGACGAAACGGCAGTCGACTTCATCGTATTCTGATAAGTGATCAAAAGCACACGGGTCTGATCACAATTGCGTCCTCCGTAAACGATAAACTACATCCAATTGAAAGGCCTCTTATCAGGAGGTTTTTAGGGGCGTGGAACCACCTCTTAATTGCTGGTGTTCCACGCTGACCCGGGATGGTAAGACCAATTAGTGTCCCAGCTATGGGTAAATAATTGACCCCCTCTCCCCAAACAGGGGTCAAAACACTATGAAAGTGTAAAAATAGGTTTTAATACCAGCAAGAATTTTTTGTAAAAAATGTTACTAGCAATGAATTTTTGAAAGAAAAAAATTATACCATTTACATTATTGAGACTATTGTCCTCATCTTTGTCGCCATATTTATTACAGCGTTTCATCCGTTGTACGCTCCGGCCTTCTTCAGGTTGTTGGAACCGAACCCTTTATTTCGCACACTGGAGTAGACTGTTCTAGTTCCACGTGCCATGTTCAATGGATGTCATTTATCAGTTATCTCCTGTTAATTACCCCTTCCAAATTCTCCACTGCCTTAACCGAGTATTGAACACACACTCTTTGGGTCCGGTCACTGGATCTAACCAACGCCTTTATCCACTGTGTCCTTGATGACATCTATGTACGAATGTTTGGGTATTATAAACCTAATGTCTTCGGCAACCTTTTTTACCAGAGCTCATATTGCAATTTTTATTGTTATTATCGCTTTTCTCTGGCATTCCTTATTACTGTTCCCCATATTGTATTCATTTCTATGCTTGGTCGGCTCAGGAGATTTTTGTAGCCTAGCATATGTACTGATTCCTTAAATTTACGAATTTTTGAATAGTGTTCTTTGTCTATGATCTCAACATGATCCCACAGAGGGCGGTGATCTCCCTTCTCTCTCCATATGTGGTCAGCCACGCCTGATTTTCCTACTTCCCCTCGTGTTACAGCTTTCTGGTGTTCTTGAAGCCTTACCTTGAGGGGGCGGCCTGTCTCTCCTCTATATTTCTTTCCGTAGCTGCACTGGATAGCGTACACGCATTTTTTGTCATGTTCTTCTCTATGGTGGTGGTCTTCCTCGGGAGAGATATCTGCGAAGTGTCGTCAAGCTTTTGAAGGTTGTCCTGATGTTATATGGACCGCAGATCCTTTGTATTTTTTCTGATAACCACTTCACATAAGGCAGGCAGACTCTTTTCTGTGTGTTGTTGTCCTCCTCTTCTACCCGCTTATCCCAGTTTTTTGGGGGCTGCTGCCATGTACCCAGGGTAGTTGTTACGTTGTAGGGTATTACTTATACTGACCAATTCTTTATCTAATGTCTCTGGGTCGCCACTTATGACTTTTGCATGGTGTTGTAATCAGCGGATGATCCCTTTCTTTACGCTGTATGGATGGTGGGAGTTGAAATTGAGGTACAGTCCAGTGAATGTCGCTTTACGGTATACAGATGTCTTGAACCCATGCTTTGTTCGAAATATTAGAACATCCAGGAATAGGAGTGTGTTGTTGTCCCCTCTCTCCATTTTGAACTGTATCGAAGGTCTTATTGAGTTCACATGGTCCAGTAGAACATGAACATATTCCTGGTGTCGCCAGAGTATGAAGGTGTCATCTAGATACCTTAACCATAGAGTTGGCTTTAGCGATATAAATTCTAATGCCATTTCCTCAAAGTTTTCCATGTATATATTCGCCATTACTGGTGATAATGGCGAGCCCATTGCTAAGCCCTCATCCTGTCGATATATGTGCGATCCCATTCCGAAGTGTGTTGTTTGTGTGAAGAAAGTCAACATCTCCATCAGATTATCTATTGGAATACTGGTCCATTCTTCTAGGGATGAGTCAGAGGCCAATCTGTCTCTGAATACAGAGAGTGTCTCCTCCGTGGGTACCTTGGTGAACAAACTCACTACGTCCAAGCTCACCCTCTGGTTGGATAGGATGAGAGCATCTTTGATTATTTCCACGAAGTAGCCGGAGTTCCGGACATATGAAGGTGACTTTCCAATCAATGGATCAATTATATCTACAAGGAAGCGACTCAGAGGGTGGCAACTAACAATCAGTCTGAGCGAAATACTGTCTTAGGGAGACCGTATATGTGAGGTAGCTTGATGTAATGCTGCAATAACTGCCTATACATCCTAGGTGTGAAGTGATCCTTGTTCTTGATTAGGATCTGTGACAGTTTATTTTCCGTTTTCATTGTAAGATCCTTTTTTACTTTGCTGTAACTACCATTTCTAATGAGGTCTTCCAGCTTTCTTGTTTAATCTGACCTGTCCATCTCTACAGTCACATTGCCTTTGTCAGCCGGTAGTATGATGATGTTTCGGGATCCGATCGCCAGCCTCTCCAGAGAAGGCAGTAGAGAACTTGGAGAGGGGTATTAACAGGAGATAACTGATAACTGAGATCTATTAAAACATGGCACGTGGAACTAGAACAGTCTAACCCAGTGAGCGAAATAAAGGGATTAGTTCGACATTCCAATCACCTGAAGAAGGCCGGACCGTGCAACGGCCGAAATGTTGTAATAAATATGGCGACAAAGATGAGGACAATAGTCCGAATAATGTAATTAGTAGAATTTTTTCTTTCAAAAATTCATTACTAGTAATAATTTTTTCAAAAAATTATTGCTGGTATTAAAACCAATTTTTAAACTTTCATAGTGTTTTGACCCGTTTTGGGGGTCAGCTATTTGCCCATAGATGGGACCCTAATGGGTCCTACTACCCCGGGTCACCCCTCCAAACCTCCTGATCAGAGGCCTTACTGTTGGATGTAGTTTATCGTCATACCCAGGACGCAATACGAAGCACCTTTCGAGCACAAACCTTCGTCATTCCAAGTTCATTGTAGAGATTATTCTCAATTCTCATACGGGATATGCTAATAAAATTGGATATTTGATTTATACCCAATCTCCTGTCATCCATTCAGACCTTGAGTCATCTTCAAAACTCTCCAGTCTCCTCTTAAATTCAGCTGCCCACATTTGCACTGTAGATAAAGCTAATGTAGCAACAATATCTATATGAATGCCCTTGGCGGCTAAACACTTCTTACTGAAGAGCATACCGTCATATCACGCCGAAACATCGGTTCTTGTATAATCACCGAAGTTAAGAATGGGCGAGCCTGGTCATTACCTAGATTGGTGACCGTTTTCGAATATCGGGTGCTG